ATTAATAATTGTAACAAAAAACTTCACAAGAAATACGACACGGCTCAATTGTTCTAAGGTGAAACACTTAATTGTCGACAAAACATTAGTGCATTCAAAAGATTTTTATGTTTATTTTCCTCTGTTGTCATCTTGTTTTTGTTATTATACCTATTTAAGTTAATAAAATAAATAATAGAAAAGATTTTAATAGTACTGTGCACCTCGAAAGTTTTTCCCCTTTGTATTTTTTAGTTTTTATCACTATATCTTTTTAATTTATTAACTTCCTATATATACTTAGGGCATACCAAAAGTAGTGGCAGTGACACTTTATTCCCTTATAGTGCGCTGAAAGAAACTTTCCTTATATATAGTTTGATAGAGAAAAAAAAGCTCTATCTTTCTATACTATTTGATCATACTTCAACTTATATCATAATATCAAATTATCTATAAAACCTATTTCGGTTGGTTGTGTGCTGGTTGTACTAGATCATAACTTATGAGATAGGCTAGTTTTCAATCTCTTAATACATTGTACGAACAACCCAAATGTACCATAAGGTGCAGCGTGCATCTTCTGATATATTTTGTTTTTCTTTTGATGAAGCATATCAGGTGATGAAACAATGAAATAATAAAAATGAATTCGTTGCGTATCGGAAACATTATCTTTTTCGCATGGTCGCTATTCGATTACTCAAAATTTTGTCGATTTTGAAAATAAAAAGTACAGTTATAAAATAAGTGGCCGTATATAAATTGTAGAGCTTTTCATGTTGCATCTTATAGTACATTTTACTTGTTCATACAGTGAAAACTAACCTGTCTCAACGTTGTGATCTAGTACAACCAGCACATAACCAGTCGAAATAGGTTCTATAGATAATTTGATATTATGATATAAGTTGAAGTATGATCAAATAGTATAGAAAGACAGAGCTTTTTTTTCTCTATCAAACTATATATAAGGAAAGTTTCTTTGAGCGCACTATAAGGGAATAAAGTGTCACTGCCACTACTTTTGGTATGCCCTAAGTATATTATATAAAATGATTTTGTTCAATAAAATAATTAAGATAAATATGATTTAATAAATCAATTGTTCGTTATGAATAATTTCATTTTATATCATATTGATGATCTAAATCATTTATTTGTTATATTTTAAACAATAATAAATTGAATATTGATTTAATTGAAATAAATTTTTATTTAATAATGTTTGGATTTTATATGATTGATTTACTGTAATATAAATTCTCAATAACCAATGAAGACGATTATCAATTGAATATGGTTAACAGATCATTATTTAACATTATTTATTGTTCTCTTATATGATGATGATTGAGTTAAAACTATTAAAAAAATCGTTCTCTTCTTCGATATAATATATAGAAGTTCAGATGTTTTATTATTTTGAAATTCTACAAAAATTTCTTCTCTATTATTATTAGATTTTTTTTTTTGATTTTTTAAATGGTGGAAAATGTTTTTTTTTATGTTCATCATTAAATTGTTTATCATAATTATTTATCGTAATTTCAATTGGTAAATATATATAATTATAAATAAAATCAATTAAAAAATAATTAAATGAATATATTAACCAAATTAGTTCTGTATTTAAAATTAATTTAATTAAATTATCTTTGTTTCAATATTGATTTAATAATAAAAATGGTGTTAGATGAACAATTTATATCATATAAAGATTTCGATATAAATATAAATAATTCATTTAGATAAATATTTATTGAAAATAAATATATTAATAAACTAATCAATAATAACAATAATAGTAAGTTGAATTTGTTTCTCATAGAATTATTGTTGATGTTTCTATTTGGATTTGTATTTGCCTTGTTGTTGATGATGATAATTTTGATTTATTTAATAAACGCTTCGTTTATGTAATTTTCTCGGATAATTATTTGGTGAATTTGTTATAGGTGGACTGTTCTATTATAGATGATCTATGTCAACAATAGCCAATCGTTTATTAATTAATTATGAGAAAATTTCGTTTGTTGTTATATGAATATGTAAATAAATATTATTTTTAGAAATAATACCTATTGAATTGATTGATAATTCTCAGTTCTATTTAATAATATATTCAATAAATAATAAACGATTATAATAAATAGTTGTTTCATTTGATGAATTTATTCTGAATAATCTTTGTTAGATAAATCAACAATTATTATAAATAATGATTGTTGTTTATCAATTATTAATATATAATTTGAAATAAAATAATGTTGAAAAAACGTTGTGTTAACAAATCGAGGGCACCATTAATGATATGAGAACATAATTATAATAGACGTTTTGTCATATAAATTATTTGTAGATGACAAATAGGAAATGTATAAAAAAAAATTTTAAAAGCATCATTCAATTAAATAAATGAAGAACATATAGACAATCTAAACAAAAACAAATTTAAATAGGAATTTTCTTTTATAATGTAAGGTATCGACTATTTGAGAAATTGAGTAAAATCGTTTCTCGTTATAATAGGGGATAGAGATCGTTGAGTTAACTCTGAAAATGTTTTTTTTTTTTTTTTTTTTTTACAATAAAACTTAGATTTGAAAAGAAAAAGCCTATAAAAATTGCAATAGACTAAAAGAATCGCGTCTCGGCAGCTCTCTGTTTTTTGACCAAAAAACTCAATTTCGAGTTGAATATAAACGTCTGATAACTTCAAGTGCAATGTGCAATTCGAGACATGATCCGACTCAAAACATCTCAATTTTGTAAAGTTACTAAATTAAAGAAATTCTCTTGTTTGACTTTCGAGATAACTATCCAAACTGATATCCACCATTTGAGCTCATATTGGCTTCACAACGGAAGTTTCGATAAATACCGTTGAGTTGGATCGAAAATTTATTAAAACTGTCATAACTAGGCTCGGAATGACCATGGGAATAAACTCTCTTTGGCTTTTTCTAGTCTTAACAGAGACCTCCTTGTCAACTCAATATAAACGCAAACGGCGGCCATTACTTCGGCTAGGCTAGTTTCCTTGTTGACGCAACACAAAACGGCAGTTTCCTCAATTCTACTGTTTCGAGCCATCAGATCTTTATCAGAGATATTTAGAAGCATTCTCTAGAGATAAAATCGTCTGTTTTCGTTTTCTAGGTAGTCTATCTCTAATAAAAACGTTCAAACTAATCGATTGTATCCGTTTCCAATAATGAGAAATGATCAGAAAATATGGACATACTCTTTATTGAAGATGTAGAGAGTTATATATTTGTTTTTTCGTACTCTATATTCTAATTAATATATTTTCATATGATATATTCAAAGAATAGAATATAATTATATTTTTATAATAAATGATGTTACCTGTCTGTTGGTTGTTGCATAATTCGCTGATAATGATGTTAATTTAATTGTTAATAAATCTGCTAATAATTTAAAATAATGACGTTGTTGGTTGTTGATCATAAATTTGAATATGATTCATTTTTAAAGATTTCTTCTATATTGATTTATTTGTCAATTAGGATGATTTATTTCTATTTGTAATTGTATATATTCATAATAAATATATTCAATAAAATTTTGTTTCAATATTATTTGTTGATGATGATAATAAATTAAATTATTTTTGTCGACAATAATGCATTATTTTGTATTAATCTTTCATAAATATCTTCAATTGATTTTAATTTTTTCTTTTTTCATATTTATCATAATTTAATATATATGGATAACAAAAAAAAATATCCAACTGGTAAACGTATTGATGATAGAGATATAATTTTATTGTCGAATTAATGTTACAGGTATATAACAGTCTATAATAGGTGGTTGTAAATAATGTAAAAAACAAATGGTTGATTTGATAAATGTCTTGAAAAAAATAAACATTGACAATCAATATGTTCACTATATGATCAAAAATCTAAAGTTAATGATACTAATTGATTAGATGATCGGATTTATATATGAGTTAATGTAACTTGTTGTCCAAAATCTAAAATAAAATAACCTTCTACCAACACCTGATAAACGATCAATTATAAATTGATATTTATGGTAAATATTGTCCATGATGAATATTATTTGATATTTGTGTTAATATACAATAAACTGTTATTATTTGTTGTTGTCGATAAAGATTTTCATAATCAATATGATTTAAATTATTTGTTAATAAACGGATCTGTTGATGATGATGTGTTGTTGATTGTTCTATTGTTGATGTTGATATTGATCTATATATAAGTCAGTAAATAAATTTGAATTTTTTTGTTAATATTGATGTGTTGTGTTCTAGCTGCTTTATTTTTTTGAATTAATTTAAATTTATCGTTTTTGTAAACTTTGTTTATGTTTAGGTATTGATGGTAAATCTGTCTAACTATGGTGATATGAAAATTAAATTATTATTTATTTAGTTTTCAATTGTTGTTGTTGATATTGGAAACGACGAAACAATTGTTGATGTTCTAGAATTTGTTGGTCCTCTTGAATTTATTGATGTTGGAAATGAAAATCGATATCTATTTGTTGAATTAAATCTTTATATAGATGGTGGAAGTGGTGGTAGTGGTGGTGGCATTGAATTTGATCTTGTTCGATAATAAAGATGATCTGAACTAGTTGTAAGTGTAATATTAGGTGGTGGTGCATTTGTTGCGTTCATATGTAGGTAACGTTAATAAATGTGTTTATATGAAGACATTCAAGAGGTGTACGATCAGTTGATGAATGCATTCGAGAATTTAATGATGTTATTTCAAATAGATCTTACTTTCATTTTAAATAAAGATTTGATGATGAAACAAGAATTTGGTAAAAGTTTTTATAATGCATTGAGAATATTTGTTTATGAATATAATCTATCAGGATCACATGGTATTTTTGGTAAACCAGTTGTACGATAACGTGAATAAATACGTCGATGATAACAATTGTAGGTGATGATTGTCATGGATTTGTTGAATGTTGATGTTGATCAATTTAAATAAGGTTGACGAAGACGAAATTCAATTAACGTTGAAACGATAAACATGAAATAAATGATCATGAAATGGATCTGCATTAAATCCAAACCTTAAGAAAAAAAAATAGAATAATAATTCCAATGTCTATGTCCCATATAAATCCTATCGGGTCTGTCTTACCGACCGGATGCAAGTGCAACAAATTTCAATCGATCAGGTCCGAGTCCGTAAATTCTTGCAGTCAATGATCCTTAGTCGCATCAACGGTGAAACACTTTGAGTCTATATTAGGGTTAGCAATCTTTTCTAAGATTCTCATCTTGAAGAGGAGACGACGAATGTTTCTATGGTATTGAAATGAATTCGAGCTAGTGCTTCGTTATTTCTGATTGATATATTGAACTGTATAGAGGTGTTACAGTTCAGAAAAAATTCTCAACGTTGTCTACAAAAGACGTGGCCATAAATAACAATCTAATTTCGACTGTTGAAAGAAGAATTTCCGATGTGCGTTACTGAAAAACAGAATAACGATGAAACAGTAATGTTCACAAAAAAAAAGAAAACTTTCGGTGGCTTTTAGTTAGATCTAACTCGAGTTTCCGGTACTCTTCTATTTTACTTGTTACAAATGAGTACTAGTTCAAGTCATTAACAATATAGAACTTAACATTTGGTCGTACAGAATTGAACATGTTCTAAGTCTGCTTCAGAAAAAAAAAAGAAAGTTACTAATTGTTGCTAACAGTAGTGAAAAAGTTGAACGTTATGCACTTCATAAATCTATCAAACTAATGGAACGAGGAATAAATGTTTGAGCCGTTTCCTAGCCTATGGAAGGTCTCATGGTCTTGCCGCCTATAAGATATGGTATGTTTGTTCCGATAGCTTGTTATGATGGGTGTGGGTGTGGGTGTATATCTGCATGGATACCCGCATCCACACCCACACCCCCACACCCACCCACACCACACCCACACACCCACACCCACACACCCA